GCAAAAATCCTCATTTTCAGAATTAACCTACAGCATAATTTCAACAAGCAGCCCTGTGTCTGCTATTTCTTCCTTGTTACTCTGGATTTGATCTCAACAGAGGTATTTGGAGAACTGATCATGTGTTTTTCACTCCAGTATGTCTTGGACAGTATTCCGTATGACTCCAACCTCCCATGTGTTGACATCAAAAACCTGACTGAACATTGAAAAAAACCCCTGTCAATCAATTCAGGCTACCCTATGAGATCTTAACTGTGGCAAACAAGATTGTATTTTATCCTGTGACATTGCTCAACTCCAAATATGAAGACTGAAAACATGTACAGAATATACCTTCTTGTGCTGAAATAGTTTGTGTAACTCACCTTTGTTGCGAGCTTCACCAAGCCTTTCTGAGAGGGAGAACATCATTTCGCAAACATCCCCACTGCAAGAGACAGAAGCTGTATTATTAGTGTGAGAAACAAAAGCACTAGCTAATCCTCCTTGGCGACCTTTTTATAGAAAGACAAGGCTTGATGGGAAGCCCAATAAAATCAACTGGTATTTCAGATGGCCAAGGACCTACTTGCAAACTATACTGGGGTTAGCATCTGTGTATTCAGGCAAAGACTGACTTAATTGCATGGGTTTGGTACTAATACATCTTTGACTGGGTATAACAAAAGAATTTATGGTACTGAGGGGCCTGGGTCCAGGCCCTCAGTGCGTGACATGCACATAAAAAGCAGCAACAGTTACATACCTGTGGATTTCTGCAAATCCAGGGATATATGCCTCCATCATTTCCACAAAGGTGTCCATGTCAAAATTCTCCTCAGAGGACTCTGGTGAGCCCAGCTCCTCCAGGACACCCGTGATATAAGAGAAGAAAACATCATCCATCCCACTGGAGACAGAGAGAAGACAAGACGTGGCAGCAGTGTCAACAGGCCCAGTTTTTCTTCTCTCAACATCCCCATTCCCCCTAACCTCCTGTCTGTTTAATATGGCAGCAAAAGGACCTATGTGGAGTATATCTTATGGGCATATACCACCAGTAAAGCCAGGTAGCAGGTGGCCAGTGGTTGAGTGGGAAGCATTAACAGATAAAATACTGCATGCATTTCTGCCTCCTGGGCAGCACTCAATGAAAGACCCAGTGTGCCCAGAGGCTCCTGTAGGTGCTTCAGCTGAGCTAACCAAAATATTCCAAGTGCTCAAACCCTTGACTGACTGACTATGCTGACTGGCGTTTCAGGTGAGGTCATCATATGCTGTCAAGCTACACTCTCTGTGGGATGCAGTGTTCTCTGCTTGCTGCTCTCCACACTTGTGTCACTACTGGCACCAGCTGCAAAACCAGCTGCTGTGTTCCAGCCTCAAGGCAGCTGTATCTCTGCATGTAGGCAGAGTTCAAAATAGGAGAGCCCTGACATAGCATTATCCTGCTCAGAAAGCCCTTTGGGAGCACTGTGGAATGAAGGAAATCCCATATTCTAATGGGTATTACTGGACAGGAAATTAATCATCTTGGTCATCAAAGAAATGACATTGCTAGATTGCAATGCTAAACTATAGCTGTTCAAGCATTCCTCTCAGAGCCTGTGCAAATTACCTCCATCCTGGATCTGGCTTAAAGAAAAGCAAGAAAAAGTACGGGAAAGCTACAGAGTTCAATATAATGGGCAGAGGGACAATTAATGCAGAGTTCAAGCTAGAACAATGCTATTGGATCTGCCTATCTCAACATACCTGAGATCTGCTGCAGGGATGTGGGACTGGATGAAGCGTGTCAGTGTGTCTCGAATGATTCTTTCAAGCTCCATGTCTCTCTAAACCTTTTTCTCTAAAAAAGAGGAGGAAAAAGAAAACTCCATGTAATTTTAAAGGCAAGAAGTAGATCAAAATATCAAGATCAAAATGCAGGTATAGGCGAGTGTGCTCTTCTGATCAGAACAATTCACAAACGCCTCCAACGTCTTCTCGTCTCTGAGTAACAGCAGGCAAAAACATCCATAAAAAGTAGCAGTATGAGGATCCACTGGAAATACCAGCCCAAAACAGCCCAACATCTTGGGCCTCTTCTGACTGTGTTGATGCTGGAGGTATGCAGCTGTACTGTACGTTTAAAATGTCACCTCTGGGAAGGAAAGCTGGAAATGCAGATGTGTCCAGCTGCAGGGGCTCAGGGACACCTTCTGAGCTGGAACACTGTGTTGTCCGGTGAGGAAGCAATGGGTAGTGGATTTGCACTCTCAGTACAGAAAGGGGTGGACCTTCCAGCTAAAAGCATTTGCAGCAATGCTTGGACTTGACTCAGGAACAAGTGGGAGGAAGAGTAATGTCTCCTAAAGAAAGGACAACCTAGAGCATATTTTACAGGGAAATACCAAGCAGGGCACAGATGACTAGTCTGCCAGCCAAAATATCAAAGGTCTCCAGGTCAGGCACAGACTGCCAGTGGAATCCTGCCCAAACAGGAGCCCGTTGTTGTGCTTGGTAAATGAGCCATTCTACAGTTGATGCAGCTACAACAAGGGGCACTTGATAACCCAAAACTCAGGGGAGCTCTAAGAATCACAGAGCTCCTACAGAAGCCATGGCAGAAAGGGGCTGCCCACAGCCCTCCTTCAGCTATCAGTACTGAGCCTGGACTGAATTGGGTGGAGAAAAGCTGTTCCTTAACCATTCCTTCCCACTGGGGTCTACAAAGCTGTTTGGTGGACAAACTCCTGGTACAAGCACTGAGTTCTTCTGAGGAAGAACCGGTCCTGCATACAGAGAAACTGATGTGGTCATTGGCCAGAGAACTTCCAAAGGTCAACATGCTCCCAGCAGTGCAGCTCCCTCATTTCAACCACACTAGGACATGACCAGGTCTGTTTGACACAGAACTCGTGGAGCAGGCTGCTGACAGACAATTCCCACATTTCCATGGGAATCAAAAAAGGTTTGGCATTTCCTGAGATGAGACTTTCAGAGCTAGCAGGATATAAACAAAACCACCCCACGCACTCAGACAAGTTTAGAATTACATAATTCGGGACACCGAAACACTTTATGCATTATACCTTCAAATGCCACACTTTTTCTAGTGGTGACCTGCAATAGTTAAGGGGGAGATTCACTAGAAGAGCTTATCCTATGTGCCCAGTTTGTGCAGGAGTGATTTACAATACACAAATTGATCTAAAAACCAAAGGCAGGAGAAATCAGTCTCCTGAGAGCTCAATTCTCTTGAAAAGATGTTACCACAGTTTTAAACTTCCAGATGTAATTGCAATGTGGATTTTAAGATCACTACAGTAGTTGTCAGCTGATTCAAATGTATCTATGAAAGTCCTTCTGCAATTCTGGTTGTTATAATGTGGGTTCTGTGTAACATGTTGCACAGAATCTATTTTTAAAAGTGTACAATAAAGAAATGATACTTCTATTGCTCTGTTCACAGCTACAGCCTCACAGTTTTGCACTGTCAGAATAAGAGACCTTCAGGTCTTGGAAATCCCTGTTATTTTTCTGGCAGTCTTTAAACACTGGGGTTTACTATTAAAGAATGAGCAGTGGAGTTCTGTATGTCATCTCATTAAGACAGGCTTGGTTTGAAATATCAGGACTGCTTACTTGATCCACGTAACACTGTGTGGCATATGTATTTCCTCATCTCAGGTAGAGAAAAGTGGTATCAGTTCTCAAAATGTGAATGCGAAAGTTATTCATTTTCTGTGCTAGATACTTTGACCAGCAACTGAACAGAGTTTCCCAAGCTACTATCAAATCTCGAGAACCTAGCAATCCCCATCACCTTTGCATTCTCCTTCCTAACATGTTACTGTCAAATGTAGGGGTTTTTTTTTGGTAAAACAGATGTAGTAATAATATCTCTCTAAAAGTACCATTATCTTTCTGCTATATAAAACAACTACTTATGCTATATTCAAGAAAAGTTGGCTTACAATTCATACAAATCTACTTTCCTCAAAAAGGGTGAAAATCTGGAATGTTTGCATACAGGTAGATCATTTTGGACAGCTCTTTCAAGTCAAGCTTCAGTAATGATTCTCAAATAGTCAATGTGATGGGATGGGATTGTGCCTTGGACTTTATATTAACAAGACAGACTTGAGGAGAGCAATTTAGGAAAATGTTTTTGAGCTAAGAGGAACTGCCATTTGGATGTATATCAACTTTTATGAGATCATTAATTTGCCTACCAGTGACTAGAGGTTTCTGCAAGTGGAAGGAGATGGGTGTTATATGCCTTGGATATTTCTCAGAGCAGGTTAGAGAAAGTTTAGGTAAATCTGATCTGACTGAGGGATTGATTAAATCACCTTGCTAAGGTTCATGTAGCCCAAGTAATGGGACAGGGATGGTTCACTATGCTCTCTGAAAATTGGTTCTGAGAAAGCACAAAGCATGTCTTATGCTGCTCAGTGTGTCTGTGCTTGGAGAAGTGCATTTCTCTGGGATATAAGGCCCTCTCGGTGCAGCCTGTGACATACAGCCTCAGAGGAAATTTCTCAAAAGCCAGATTGGCAGGACAGAGAACCAGCCATGGCTATACTCCACTGAACTATTTACCTCCTGAAACTTTGCTGGCCTAAAAGAAAATTTTCCAGGCTAAGTAACACCTTACAGATATAATTTCACTGCTTCCATTTTTTGTTTGTCTTGCTAACGAAGTCTCTGAAAGGACTTTCACAGTGTGGTTACTATGGGAAAGCAGGCTGAGGTCACTGAGCTTGTTAACACAATTAACTGCTTAATGCTCTGAAATGAAAATAAGGACTAAGTTGGAACTTAGTCCCGGTAAATTACAGTAACGGTAATGGCAGTGGCCAGACTCTTCCCCTCCCTCCAGATCTACACTGGACAGCTGCACTGGGGTGCTCTGCTGACATGGAGCCCTTACCTGAGAAGATGTGCCACCTGTGCAAGGACCTTCGCTCACAGCCAGTGTTTGTGAAGTCACCTCAGTGCCTGCAGGAAAGTTGATGGTCCATCCTATGAGTGCCTGGCCCAAGCCATGAATGAAGAAGCCCTTTATGGGAAAGGAAAGCTGAATTAGCTGGAGCGGGAGAACAACAGAATCACTCTGTATTCTGGTATCTTTCTGTCACTTGTGACCGTTTCCTCTAATGCATATGGTACAGCTTTACTTTTTTTTTTTAATAAAATGTACACTGTGGAAGGCTAACCGGGTTGCGAGATTAGTGTGCTTGTCAGCCTTCAAATTCACTGACATGTCAAGATGTTCAACATCTACAGTTTTTGTATCAAGGCCAGCAGTGGTCCCTGCATATCACTCGAATAATCCAAAGGCACTGGTGGCCTCATCACCGTGGCAAACGAAGCAGGAGCTGTTTCTCGAGGCTTTAAGGAGACAGCCCAGAGAGCGCTGCTGGGTGTCCGTGCTGTGGCGGGTCCCCACGGCCGGAGCCCCAAGAGCCCCACGCGGGGTGCGACGAGCGGCTGCTGCCCCTGGAGCGGCTACACCGGCCGAGCAGCCCCGGGGCCGGGCGAGGATTGCCTCGGCAGGGCTGGACAGCGAGGCCGCGGCGTGCCCGATACTCGCGGTGCGCGGACGAGCCCCCCCCCACACCCCCGCCGCGCCCCGCGGGTCGATCCCCGCACCGCGGAGGCTGCGCGTCACCCTGCCCGGCCGCCTGGGCCGCCCCCCGCGCTGCCGACCCCGCAGTTAAGCCCCACTCCCTCCCGGGTTCCCGGGCTCCCCGGCCGTGTCCGTATCCCGCTCCCCCTGTCCCGGGCGGTGACGGGCGCGCGCCGCCGCCGGGGGGGGGGGTGTCACCTGATGGCCCGCACGCTCCCTGCCCTCCCCTGCGCGCGGGGCTCGCGCGGCGCGCTTGAACGCGTCACGTGGCCGCGCCCGCCGCCAGCCACGGCGGCGCGCCAACGCGGTCCCCGCGCCGCCATCTTGACTGCGGGCAGGAGCCGGGCAGGCGGGGACGGGGCGGCCCGGGGCAGCCTTTGAGGGGGCCGGCGCCGGGGTGGCCCTTGGCGGAGCCGCCCCGGGAGGGGCTCGCTGGGACTGTCCTCCCTGCCAAGTGCAAGGGACACGTTCCCTGATGAAAGTAGAACACTTCGAGCTGCACTGCCTCTCGGGGCGCTTCTCCCAAGCCGAAGCCCTGTCAGGGATGCTCCCCGAGCTGCCGCCCGCGGAGCTTGGAAGCTGCGAGCAGGCTGTTTCCATTTCCACTAAAAAGCCGCCCCGCTACACCCAGGCTTGACAAGCTGCTGTATGATCCTTCATTCTGGCGATCTGGAGGATTGCTGCGTGTTAGGGCAGCCTCAGGCTCTTCAAGAATCCCAGGATCAGTTAGGTTGGAAAAGACCTCTGGGATCATGGAGTCCAACCTGTGACCGAGCACCATCTGGAGAAGGGGCAGCAGGGGGACGGGGTCGCAGCTATTGCCGGTTTACTTAGTTCTGACACACAGTTAGTGCTTCCCGGGGCAGCTTTGGAGAAGGAACTCAGTTATCCCAGCTGCTTCTTCAGAAAAATCCCAAAGCAGCAAGGCATAGTTTTTCTCTGTCTCATGCTCCTCAGTCATGTGTTGCTAAATACCAAGTAAATGAGCCTGATTCTGCCTTCGGCAGCACCAAAAAAATCCAGAGTCATGCCAGTTGGGTAGGGAGCATCATTGCACACTCACTCCAGTGTCATTAAGAACAGAGTTTGTTTCCATTATTTATTTCTCTAAATGTGCATACATTCCTCTATTAACACTGTATATATATGCTGACACTGAATATACTTCATTGTAGAAGTATTCACTGCCTTTCATTTCTTCTGCTTTTGACTCTTGTTAGCTGCACTTATCCACACAGTAACTGAAAGTAATCAACTATGCTGCATTATCTATCCTTTGATCAGTGTTTTTACCTTAGTTTGGTAAACAGTTTGAAAATCGCCTAGCAAGCCTGCTATTTCTAGGATGGGTTTCAACTTGTATGAGCCACTGTATAAAGAACGTGCTGAAAATGCAGCTGCATTCTGGGATGGGCTCATCACAGTGAAGTGGAAGTTTTGAAGAAAACGAAGTAGCACATGTAAGGCCCCTAGAACTTAACAATCTTTAAAGCTATGACAAACAATTGCAGTTGCCTTGTTTGACCTACATTCCCTCATCAATTCTTGACTGAATTAGAACAGGACTTCCTGAACTAATTTGTGTTATGAGGTTCTACCAGCTTTTTCCACTGGTGGTTCATTGCATCCTATTTGTCAGCAGAATTTAAGGATTCATGTAGCCTCAGTCTGCTCTGTAGTTTCCTTGACTTGCTTGGAAACCTTGAAGCCCATAAGAAATTCTGAGAGTTCTCAGATGCTGTCAGTTCAGACAATTTGTAAATTCTTAAAAATCCTATGATTTTTATATCACAAATTTCAGAACAACAACAGACAGGACCTCTGGTTTGGGTTTTTTTTTTCTACTACAAATATTTTGAACTAGACCATCAGCCTGGCTGATGATCAGGGTAGTCTGTGCTGGGGAGAATTAAGGGAGGAGAAAACCACACTAGGCTTTGAAGCAGAAGGTCTGAGAAAACCCAAGTAAGTTAAAATGCCATTGAAATTCTCTTATAACTAGTTAGACTTCTTAGTAGTGTACTTTGAGTACACTAGTAAGTAGTGACTTCTCTTAGTGTACTTTGCTGCAATTTGATATTTCACCTTCACACCTTACTCTAATTGAAACTGATGTAAGAGGGTGGCTTTTTTTAAATTACAGTACTGGAAGAGGACCAGTATTGTAGTACTGGTAATAGATACCGGAACAAATATGGCGTTTAATAGGTCCCCAATTTAAAGTTAAAATCAGAGGGTTTTGACCTAAAGCTCAACAAAAACTCCACAGGGATTCCCTATACAAACACACAAAATGCACCCTTCATTGACAGTCCAGGCAGAAAGGAGCGACAGCACAGGAAATTGTTCTTGGAGAACCCTTCTACTTGTCAGTCATAGGCTGCTGCAAACCAGGAAGGTTAACACACCATCTAATTATTTGATGGGATTCATATTCCTTCACAAATGTGATGAATAATGCAAGTGTGTTGAATCAAGCCAGAGGAAAATTGTTCCTTCTCCAGCCTATTATTAACTCCTTGTGGTATAATGTACTTGTAATCCTAGAATGGTTTGGGTTCAAAAGGACCTTAAGGATCATCTAGGTCCAACCCCCCCCTCCCCCCACGGGCAGGGGTGCCACCCAAAATGAGTTTGTTCTGTGACATCTTAATCTGTGGGTGGATGATATTTGTATGTGAGCAATTTTAACTGTTACACGTGCTTCTCTTTACATTTGACTTGAAATGAGAGAACAGAAAAGTACCCTTTCCACCTGGTTTTGCCCCCTGCTTAATGCAGGTATGTTCCCTACAATGGGTATTTCTCTATACTCTAGCTTTGAAAGGCTATAGTGATGGGGCTTAATCTGAAGAGAGGAGCACATTACTGGGATGTGTTTCCTGATATTCTGGCTTTATTTCCCATTTTTTTTCCCCATTTTCCTATCACACGTCCATATGTGTCCTTGAGACTATTCAAAACACTTTCCTGTTGCTAAGCCTAGAATATCAGTGCATATCTTTAATTTATGTGTACTGCTTTTATTTTTACTAAATCAGACTGCATTTTACTTGTGATTTATCTTTAGTCCTCTACAGAGCCTCAATTTAGAAAAAGGGTATTTTGAGCACTGTCCTTTTTTTTTTTTTCCTTTTTTTTTAAATAGAAATGAGTGTTCAAGCTCAGAACTCCACAGAAATTTAAACAACTTATGCACAGCCCTTTGAAAGCGCCCACCGCTCCCAGATTTTCTGCTGCAGCCAAAGGAGAGTCCAGCTTTCCAACTCCAATTTCCCAGGGGTTCGGAGGAGTGCTGCTTCCCAGGGCAGCGAGCGGGATGGGGGCCGCGTGCCCTCTGCTGGGAGAGCTTTGTAACGTCAGGCGTTCCTCTGGAAGCGCCGTTGCCGCATTCCAAGATGTCCTGCGCGGTTGATTACCAACGTGCTTGAGTTGGCATTCCAAAAGAAGTTTCTTTCGGTTGCTCCTGGGAAAACTCATGTTGCAATTTCAGAGCGTTGAAGGTAAATTAATCTGCTTCTCTAGGTTACAATTAGGTTTATTAGAGCCTATTTGTCTTTACTCTTCCTTGGTAACAGGAGAGTTCTACGTGAGTAAATATTTCCTTGGGATTTTTGTCACTCTTTGGCTCCTCTTATTTACTGTTACATGTACATCTTATCATGGTTACAAAGGTCTTGTAGTCAAATAAGACACAATTCTGTGGTTGTGTATAACAAATGAACCTGTTTCATTCCTGTATTGTGACTTATTTAGCTTTCTAATGTTCAGAGGTATGAAGGCTTTTTTGTGTGTGTATGACAGTGAAATGAGCAATTTATCTAAAAATAAACAGCGAAGTACGTGAAGAATAAGTAAATGAATAATTTGTCTGTCATCCTTCTGTCAGGGAGCTCATTGTGCTTTGCATTTGTGTCTTATAATTTTATATACAGTAGGCTGAAGCACATGACATGTATTTCCAAAAGTCTCAGTATGAGTCTGTGGCAGAACCTGAAAAAGGAATCAGGAATTTGTGTTCACTGACTCATCCCAAAGGTATAAGTGTGCTACTTACAGGAATTTTTGAGGATGTGAAAAAACAAAATAATCAGTGAACAAAGTTTTTTTTCAGTTTCTGGTTACAACACATTGAGCAAAGCTAGTCTGTAACAGGATGGGGTGTCTGGAGCTGCTCCTTTGATTTGGCCAGCTCTAAAGGAGCAGTAAGAATCTGATCCTGAGGAGCCCCGAGGAGGCTTTTGTTCTGCAAAAGGCCTTGATGCTCTTATATAGGATGGTGATGTACTTAAGCCAGCGGAAAAAATAACTCTAAAGTTGGTAGTATTATAACGAATAACTTCCCAGCTGACAATGTCAGATGGTCTCACAGCTAGGAGGAGCTTTCAGACTACAAAATATTTGGACATGCTGTCCTGGGTGCAGATCTAGTAGCTCTTCTGAACCTTGTGTAGGCGTGGTTAGAGTTTTTTAGGCTGGATCTTAGTCATTGTGTATGGCTCTCACAATTCACACTTTTTATTTTTTTTTGCAAGTGTGATAAAGGGCTTTCTCAATACTTATTTCTAGCCTTGAGCAACACTCTGCTACCAATGGATGTGGTGTTGTTCTGAAGAACCTGACATTTGTGGCATTAATACTGTTGTGATTTCTTGCATTTTGCCTGTGAATGCAGGCCCTGCTGCCAAGAACTTTCTGACCCTAGAATACTTTTCAGCTGTGTGCCAATGTAGATATTGGACAGTTTGCCAAGCCAAGGCCAAACTGTTTGAAATTTAATTTATTGGAAGCTTGTTAATTTGTCATGCGTATTATCAAAAAAGTATTGACAGGGTCTGTTCTTCTGTTGCATTCATATGTGAAAGTAATTTTTGTCTTCTATTTTTTGTAGCAGCTAATTCAGCCAGAATTCAAGTGTGAAGGCTTTTCCTAATTTAGAGGAATTTTAAGAACTGGAAAATTATGCTACGTAACTAGCTATATTTGAACACGTCTCTGAATTTACATAATAAATGCCTGACTTTTGCAGTTAGCAGAACTAAAATATGGAGAGGATCAGAACACGATTTAAACACTCTGTCTTACTGCTCTCTCTCATTTCTTTTGTTCAGATATGTTTCTTTTGTTCAGATGTAATGGGAAAAAAAAATCTAACTATTTCAGTACTGGAAAGAGCTCAAGACATGGGTTCTGATCCTCACCTCCCTCTGCCTTTAGGTATTATCCTCATTTCACAGATGGACAAAGTGAGGAAAGCAACATGTGACCTTTTTTATTAAAACACTTGGAGATTTGGTAGTGAAAAGCATATGAAAAAGCTACACACTTCTTATACAGTTATGTAGCTTTTCTTTAACATATCCAACTACTTTATCTCAGGCAGACTGAAAAAAGGAAACATAGCTGGGATAATGTACCTGCCTGCAGAGCATTCTGATTAAATTATACACCATAAAATTATACTTGAGTTGGTCATGTAGTAAAAACAATAATAATAATGATAAAAAGAAAAAAGGATGCTGTCTTCAGGAGTTCCCTCAAGAACTACAGGTAATTTGTGGGTTTTTTTTATTCTAATGGCTGTTATTTCTGATATATGGAAAATACTCCCTGGAAGTACATTCGGTTCCTTGTCTTCTTTTGCTGTCCTGCTGTTGGAGAGTTCTGCATTTTAGATTTGACTGGCACACACAGCAAGAGGAAAAATGAGTTTGAAGAATTAGGGTTAGGAGACAAATTTGTTATGAGCAGCAGTGAACAAACATTACAGTACCCGAGAACAGGCACGGCCTTTGAAGGAAGGTTTAGTAATTTCAAGTAGATTTCCACAGCTGCATATTAGTAAAACCGCTGTAACAAGGGTGCAGTGGAGGTAAATAGGTAAATAGAACTTGCCATACTCTAGTTTGGGCTGTGTATAAATTACCCTCTTCATACAGCACAATCTGGGTAAGCAAAAGGATACGTTTAATTCCTTTTTTATTTTACTGTGGTACTGATTGCTTCCCGTGGAATCAATTAGACCTGCCGCTTATGAGAGGAGCGCACTCATTTCCTTGAGGTAGCTCAATTACTGTGCGTGTTGCCCAAGACCAAGTCCTTGACCCTGGTGTTTGGAAAGCAGGTGAACTGCCCCGCGAGAACGGCGGCGCGGTGCTGGTGAGGGGCAGTGCGGCAGCCGAGCACTAGATGCCACTCTGAGGCCGCGGTAGGAGCTTTGCTCTCTGCAGCATCCAAGCGGAGAAGGCTTGGAGCGACAGCTCCCGGAAAGCCCCGTGTGGGAGGCAGACAAGACGAGCTCCTTGCATACCCCTCCGATGACGCTGGGAGAACAAACAGCGAAAAGGTGAATCAGGGGCCACCGGTAGTGCATTCAGGCCCCACGTGAGTCAGGGCCAGCAGCAGGTGCTTCGGATGGGAACTGAACCTCCAGAGTTAGCAAATAATCTCCCGGCTTCAACGGTTTTGTGCACAGGTGTCCCCACTTCTGACCTATTAGCCAGATGGGCTCAGAAGGAAGGAGGAAGAGCAGGGTGAAAGGGCAGTTGTAGCTCACTGGATGGGATTTCATGAGAGTTTAATCATGATCTGAAGACCCGTGGTTCTTACAGTATTTCTGCTGGTATGGTCGTTCTGCAGGTACGTCTGTAAAGGTCTGTCATCAATAGAAATACAGTTAACAACCCCCTCCTTCATCAACCCCATACATGTCCTAAATATTGCAGCATTTTGCTGAGAACCAGGCATCAAAACTGTCTATAATCTGACTAAACTAATAATGGGCATGAGTCACAAACCTCAGTGTGGGTTTGTGCAGTAGTATCTCAAGAAAGGTTTGACTTGTTGTCAAGATAAAGGCTAGTTGTACAGTTTGGATTCAGATCAAGGCTGAAATGTGGAACGAAGTTTTGATGGGGCAGCATCTTTTCTGGGAAGTGAGTCTGCTTTACTGAACAATTTGAAAGTGAACACTTTCTGTGAATGACCCATACTATACATCTTCTAAAAAATACTCCCCAGTTCATGCAATGTACAACTGGCAACAAAAACACATTGCTTCAAATTACTGAAGAAGCTGTGAAGTACTGAAGGAGTAGTGAAAGCATATATATATGCTATATATAGATATATGTGTGTATATATATATATATATATTTCCTTTTGTATGGAAGGATTTACCAATGCAACAACATACTTTTGAGTTAACTGTATGGCTTGTAGTCCTCAGCCTTGAAGATAAATACATGTCAATCTGTAGGAAACAGGAAGGGATGAATCCTGGTAAAAATCCTAGTCACTGATGCGTATTATTTCTCTTCAATTACTTGGTATTCCACATAATCAGGAATAGTGTGCAATGCATTGCTAAGTGAGTTATGTTGGTCTCAAATAGCAGGCTTACAGAGAAAATAAGATTTTCGCTGCTATTAGCTACAGGAGATTTTTAGGTGGAAATGGTGGAGGTACACGTCTCACAGCTGAGTTTTTTTGAGTGCCAGATTCCTGGGGAAACTAGCATTGCTTTGGTGGCCTATAGTCCTGTGCAACTCTCCCATGTGAACTGTGATTAGATCCCAAACCTGCTGGGGTAGAAGTTTGTGTGTGTGAATTTGACCTTAACAGAGTTAAGTACTCAAAAATAACTGCTCTTGGCAAAGTGCAAGTATAATGCCTTGTCTGGCTGTTTTATTCTCTGTACATTTGGTCTATCTAATAGATAGATACCTGTTACAGTAAATATCTGTTTAAGTTAGCTCAAATGGTTGAGCGTTTTATTTTTGGTACTGGAGTTCCTGTATTTGCTTCTTTTTGTCCAGTTTAAACATCTGTTACATTGGGATCATAAACCCTACTAGTGAAACAGCCAACATGCCCTCAAAATCTAGTGGTGCTTGAGTAGCCAGTTTCTAGTAAAACATGTCAGAAAGAAACATTCTGTCTTTCCTGACACCATCTTCCTTCTGAAAAAATTACCTTCTGGCAGAGTGATTGTTCAGTAATGTACGGAAAGCCCGTATGTATTTCTTTTGTGTATCTAGGAGTATGTGAAGGTATATTGTCCTGTGGTTGTCTAAGCCCACTGAGTAATCCATCTGGGGTCCCTTAGGTGTGTGAACTAAAGCCTGGATACTTATGTAAGGCAGGATGTTGGATCAGGTTTTGTTTTCCATAACTTGAATTTAAATGTAGAAGTTACTACTTTGAAGTAGAGCATTCTCAGGTATTAAGGAAGGAGTTTGGTCTTTTGTATTTAAATTACACAGACATTGCACACACACACACACTTTTATCCATGAAGCCACCCAAGTCCTAACCTGGAATTTTAAGGTTTTCTGTCGGCAACATCCATCTTCTGTGGCCTTCTTCATATTAGCATTGATCTACAGGGGAAATAGAGAACACGGCTGTGTTATTATATACCCGACTGCAATTTCTGTTCCAGTGATTGAGTGTACATACCGAATTTTTGAAACATGGCCATTCTAACTTATTTTGTCTTCCTGTCAATAGCATGGCACTTGTCCAAATTATGGATCAATATCAGCTGATCTTTTTATGTTAAACTGTAATGAAGTTGCCTCTCTTAATGGAGATGTGATCTTGCTTCAGGCAATGCTTTTAACTGAGAACTTTTGGAATGGAAATGGGGGAGAGGGGAAACAGAAGCAGAGGAATGAGCAAAAGCCAGAGTGGAGAATAACAGCATTCCTTCCTCTTTTTGAAAGAAGTAGGAGTGGGGTAAGAGGGGGACTCAGATATGAAGAGAGCCAGCTTGTTAGGACTTTTACTGGTATGGGTAAGAACTGTTAGCCTCTGCTTTCTTCAAAGTACTGTCAAAAAGCCAGTGGTGGACACTAGGAGTGAGAGCCTGGCTCTCTTGAAATTTCATGTAACATTACCTTTAATTTGTGTTTTAATTTCTGTTCTTTTTTTTCTATTTCACTCTGTTTCATAAAGTTTGTGAAATCAAATAGTTGAAAGAACAGAGGAAAAATGGGATGAGGCAAGGAATGGGGAATGAGAGATGTAAAAAGGGATGTTAGATCAGCCATTCTTTCCCTTGAGGGCAGGATGGGATCATCTCTACAGTGACTTCTCTGGGTCTATATCTAGCTCTAAAGAGTTTCAGGGTATCAGTGTTGTGTGTGAGCCGTACACAGAGTAGCTGAAGGCCTATCATTTCATAGGTGTTCACAGGAAAATCTTTTACTTTATTCTTATTTCACTTTCTAGGACAAAATGTAGAGGGGAACTTTTTCAATCCCTTTTATAGGGTAAAAGTTCTGTGGAAGAAATAGCTGTTGTTGTGTCAGGCTTTTGGAAAAAGAGTCTGTGGGGGACTGTACTAAGTTTATTTGGTAGGGGACAATGGTGAAGAAGGGAACCTGGTGGGTTTGGAACTGATAGTGGCTGAAGTTAGCAGACACTTTCCTTTCTAAGAGCAAAGTGATGCTGGTATTTTGGAGGGGTCTTCTGTGAACCATTTAAGTTTCTTTTGTGGCTTCTCCCACAGTTGTCTCTGAGCCAGTCTGTCACAGCTCAGTTTTGATTGCTATGAATATGTGCAAGCTGGAGAACCCAGAAATACTTCTGATTCCAATTGTCTTGTTTGTGTCTCTGTCCCATATGGGAAGGGAGGCAAGAGGCCTGAGTATATACCAGTTCCTCTTAGTTTCTCTGCAGCGGCAGGTGTGCCATCAATAGGGAGGGACCTGTTGGACACAACAGTTTCTACCTTCTCTTCCTCTTGATCTTTTTCAGCCCTACAAAGCAGGGTAGGAAAAACAGCAAAACATCAAAATGCATCCATATGTGTGTATTACTTTTTATCTGCAAAGGTCTTTTCTAATATTTTTGCTTTCATTATCTCACCCTCTTCAGTCAGAAGGATGTTTCACTGCTGTTTTGTCTTGGCACTTACCCAAATTGTTTGGTGAACTGTATGAAAGCAGTATTAGAAAAAAAATTCGCAACCATCTTACACCCCAATGCATAGATGGGAACAGTGTTTGCAATAAAAAAGAGGGGATCTTTGCATGAAAATAATTCTTAAATTGGAGTTATCCAACAAATCTTCTTAACTGAGGGTCTTTTGTAGGAGGCCTAAACTTTTTTGCTTTTATGAGAGATTTACATTCAGCCTGTTCTTCATTCTCTCAATCTCTTTTTTCATATAATGCTTTTCCACTGTTTCTGCTCTCTTTCTTTTCCCTCCTGTTTTTCTTTTTTTGTTGTTGTTGATTTGTTTGTTTCCCTGGCTCCCTCTCCCCCACTTCACCAGACTATATAATTTTATAAATATTTTGGATTCAGGAAGCTCTGTATGTTTGTTTTTCTGAATCTTATTGTTATTATTATTCTTAGGGTTACTTTGTGGAAGCATCTAGAACAATATATACAAACACAGTGTTGGATTTGAGAAGCACATGACAAGACCTTCTAAGAATTGAAAATGATTGGGTAGGGCTGATAAACTGAGATAAGTAAGGGAAATTAAGGAACTAAGCAAATGGTTTATTTACTGTCAAAGAGCTGAGTTGGAAACTGAATTTATATTGTACAGTCTCATGTAGATACCTTCAATGACAAGGATATGCCTTTCCTTCTCGGAGCCTTAAGCAAAGAATACCTAAGCAAGACCTCTCTGTTCTAGGATAATGCTAGAGTGAATAATGAAGAAGTTAAGACTATAATAGTGAAAATGTTTTTGAAATGTCAGTCTTTGGTGTCCAGTTCAGTTTTAGTCTCCTACGCTCCAAGGTCCCTATGTTTCAGTTAGTGAATTTGTACACCTTTTTTGTCCCCCTGCATACAAGATTGGCTAATTATAACTTTGGGGGCATCTTTACGGTAGTTTTGTGCCTCCAAGCCTACAATATCTGAGTATCTCAAGAAACATGCATGGTTTTCAAAGCCTTGGAAAGCAAAGGACAGTGTTATTTCACTTGTGCTGAGGCAAAAGACAGTAATGATATTTGGGGAGTGGTATAATTATGGTAAATCTGGATGAAAAACACTCTTCTTGTTCTTTGGAAAAACTTCAAATTCTGAGAAATTGTTCCTTGTAGTGGATGAGAAATTAAAATTATGATAACTTTTTATTAACTACAATGAGAGAAAACCTCCAGCATTAGTTTGGATCTGTGGAGAGAATTTAAGATTTTTATGATCTTAAACTCTCAAAAGGAAATGACTAGCTTCTTTTTAAAAAAACAGCTTAGTATTGGGAACAATGTTAAATATGAAAACTGGATTTTTTCATGCAATAATGTTTTAATTAGTGTAGTTTGTCAAAAGTGGTTGATCTCTGAGAAAAAAAGTTTTGTTTTGCTGAATCTACATTTTCAGCCTGAAAAACATGTCAAAAAATCCAAGTAGCTATAGTTCCTGGCAAAGAAAGCAGAGGGAAGCCACAGCTTTTTGTGGATAGGTCTTTCGCAACCTATATTACAGCTTTAATCACTTTAGGAATGTAGGGGGAAAAAAAAGAAGAGTCATACATAGCTTTTCAAAGAGTTTGATAACCTGTTGGTGTAAATCACCAAAGCTGCACCGATGTCAGTGAAGTCTGTCTGGCAATCTGCTCCTAACTGTGCCACCAAGCTATAGGTTTTTTCTGAAACAAAAAAAGCACAGATATTATGTATAAATTAATAGGCTGTACTGACAGGAGATGGTATTGTCTTCGAGCCTGTGAAGGAAGGTGAAAGAGGCAAGAAGCACAGCTGGGAGATACACAAAAAGAAAAATGAAACCAACCTAAAACTCTGCCCCAAGCCCAACAAAGAAGTTACTTGCCTTTACCACTGCCTCCAATCTTGTTTTTGGAGACCCAGCATCAGTCATGAAGCAGATGCTGGCAATGCTCCTGCTCAGCAGGAGACTATAAACATGTCCCGGGATCCCACGGTTTATGTGACTATTTACACAAGCGCAAAGTAAATGGAAGTGGTTATCCCTGCTAGCTGGTACTCATGGGTACGTGGGCTCCATTTGCTTTGCTTCAGTGTCAGGGGCAGCAGGGTAGGAGTGAGCAAAGCTTAGAAAATTCAGCCCAACAAAAATGAAGTAGATTATTGGATATTGAAGTAGGATATTTTCAGTAACTGATCTGTTGGTTTTGCTTGCAGCTCCAAAAAAGGTGGAGGATATGGAGCAAGTGGGAGGATAATTCTGTTAGTTTAAAACCAGCATTTTTTTTTTCTTAGGCCTGAAATATTTGCATTTAGTGTGGTTGTTTTTTTGTAGAAAAAAAATAGTAAAATTGAACTAAATTTTAAGAAATCATTACAGATTTGAGTTTTAAGGGGTATACATTTCATATTCAGCATATCAAACTGAATGATCTGGACTTTCAGAAAGCTCGCTAGGCTGAAATAGCTAAACAATTCTGAAAGAGATTTGCAGTCAATGTAAATCTGCATTTTAAGAACTTGCTCAATCATTCCACCTTAGACAAACAAACCTTTGTTTTACATCATCTACATTCTTATTTCTGAACTGTTTCATACGCAGAATACTTGTAAGCATGGGCCGTTATGCACAGACTTGAATAAAGAGAGATTGTGAAACTGGAAAGGGGAAATTTAGTTGTAGCCTAACTTTACTGATAGTAAGAGAGTTACACCACCAAGGAATTTGGCCCATTACTTTGGAAATTAGAAGTCAGACTTAATAGTGGGTGTAAAAAGAAGAGGGGCAGTCATGACTGTTGAAACATTATGTGGGAGAATTGTGTACATTACAAGGGAATATGATAGAACTGTACATGATAGAACTGTAGTTCAGGGATTTGTCTGTCTTGTATTAGCAAACAGGTTGCCATAGCTGGTTTAAACCTATCCTTGGCAAAATTTAGTTGATTCCAGTGGATTTAAACCAGGGATTAATTTAATCTTCAGTTTTCATAGTCCTCAAGCCCAGAAGGACTATTAGTTTGTATACTGTGGCCTGCCACAGGCTGCAGAATTCCACCCAGTTATTCAGCATCAAACCTAGTAACTGGTATGTTTTGAAAAAAGGCATCTTTCTGCAGTGAAATTTCAAGGAACAGAGGAACTGCTGTTGAACATTTGCTGGGGTGATCAGTTGTTCTTTTTCTAGAACAAGGCTGAGACTTTGGTTCTGTTCCTCATTCTCTGTCAGTCAGACTTCTTCTCCATGCTCTAATTTCCCTGCTTATAACTTGGATATAGGATATTTAATCTCATCTGGAAATAAAGTTAAATTCCACAGCAGAAGACTGATAAAAGTGAGTAAAACATCATTCTGTGATTGTAGTCTGCTCTCTCCTGTATCCCTTTTGTTCTTCTCCATTTCTCCTTTTGCTTTTCCCATCCATAGATCTCTGATACTTTTACTGAATGCAGTAAATGATGAGCTGACCTTCTACTGCCTTCTAATTGTACCTACTAAAATTTTATCTATTTTTTTAAAGAAAAATAAAAATTAAACCAATTTTCTGTAAAATTGCATGCATTTGAACAGAGAAAATACCAAGATAGCCTTTCATTTGTTCATAAAACAGCACTTTGAGAGCATGTGCTGTTGCTGTTATTTACAAAGCTGTGTAATGAGATGGGAGGTTCACAAGTTGTTTTTTTTTTTTTTTGTTTCCTGTCACATTTCAGCTTTCTTTTAGTAATTACTGTAGCAAATCTGTCTGCTGAGGATCTCACAGTTGTGTCATTCCAACCCCTGGGATATTCATGCCATACTGAAGTTGGAATTCTGATTTTTTATCTCAAAACACGTGGTTTCAAGTGCCCAGAGGCAGTGGTATACAGGGCTTGTGTTATGTTTCTACCGAGGAGAAACTGTCCTGCAACCCAGGGACTTGGTTCTGGATTATCTCCTCTTTCAAGCTGAACATTATACTCTATGCAAGTATAAAAGAGAACTGACTGATGTTTTCCTTGTTTCTAAGTTTTCAGGACAGGGACTGGCAGCTGGAATCTTTGTAAAGAAAGGACTCATAACCAAATTGACCCATGGGACATAGCACTTCATTAGAGTTCAATATTATTATAGTGACAGGTACCTTAGGAGTGAGATCTAAAGATTAGATTATACAGCAAATGGAAGCCCCAGTTTTCCAAGTGTGACATCACTGACAGGAAAAGCTCAGGAAGAGGGTGCAACCTCTCTGCTTATCTTGGTTTAGCATTTTATTAGATGGTAGGATCAGTCTGGTCCCTATTGTTTCCACAAACAATATGAGGCTCTAGTCTGCAGTCTGCTTTCGGAAGGGTTGGCCCCTCTCAAGGCCTACCAACAAGGGCTCTGTAGTTGCTCTTCTTCCCCTGTTATTTGCCAACTGAGTGATCCTACAATCACTGTTGTCTTTGCCTCTGTAGGCTGTAGGGATTGGTAACGGTTGCTATTTTCCCAACACCTTTTTGGTGCTTTTCCTGATCTCTCTTCAGCTGATGCTCCTAGATCCCTTTCTCCTGTTCCTGGTGGTTTGAAAGGTTTGGTCCTGGGAGCTTGTCCTGCCTCTCCATCATTCCCCTTTCCTGGTGCTGCCCCGTTGCAGCCTTGGTCCCTGGGGGCTTGTGTGTCCTGCCTCACCAGCGTTTGCCTTGCCTGGTGCAGCATTCAAGCGACACCTTAATAAAAAGCTTTCCTCCCTTATCTCCTCTCTGCTGCTGTGCCACTGGGCTGGGGATCGGGTTCCCATCTCTTTCACACGCACACCTGGTCATAAAACACTGGGTTTGTTTTTAACCTCAAACCAGGGAGCTTTAATTAAAGAGACAGTGACCTCTTTTATGAGTTTGCTCGCATAGGGTTTCAGGGCTATTGTCACATACAGCTCACATAACAGAGCACCATTGCACAAAGCTCCATTTACACATCCTTCCCCGGCTTTTTTCCTCTCCTCTTTTTGTTTTCCAAACGCAGAAGGAGGTTGTTTTCTTGTTTACCCCTAGGCAAAGTTGTTTCTCATGTTAGTAGCCTATGGCTAACAGTCTCTTTGAAGAGAACCTACCTTTCTTACTAACAACACATAGATGTCATTAGACTTGGAGAAATGTTATTTTTTAATCTATGTAGGAAATAATCTCCCTCACCTTAAATTTGCTGGATATGAATGACTAGCTAAAATGGATCTTATCCTCTGTTCTGTTCTTCTTAGCTAGTTCTCATACCTGTATAGTGGAATTTGTGTGTTTTTTAGGACAAATACTTTTTTATTATTCACTGTTGTATTTACCTGTATTCATTAATTTTCAGGTGCAATAAGTAGTCAACAGCAACAAATAGAATTTTTTATTTTCAAGAATGATAAGCGCAGGGACAGACACTAGAACTTGTCCACAGTTTTACACAGAATAGTTTACGTGTAATTTAAAGAAAAATTTTCACAAATACAGCCATGTGTTCCCATGCACTTGTACTCAAAGATACACAAAGAGGAAGACACACAGAAGTGTGTACACAGACCAGAACTTATTTGAGGTATGCAGACTTCTGAAAAAGGCACTCATGCACAGAAAACAGACAGCTGGGACACAGATACAAGCAACCACACAATTGGCAGAATACAGAAGCACACACAGAGGACATGGACACACAGAAGAAAAAAATAATATATGTGGAAGAGTGTTGTTGCCCTCAGCATACACCTTGTATGTAGACCTTCAGAAACAAGTACAAGGACAAGCCTGCAGGAAAACACGTATGTAGAAACTTATGCCCAGAAACTCTGTAAGTAATGTATAAGTTACTGTGGACAGGTCCTGGGACTCTAACTGTTCAGGTGCTGGAACTCTCACGGAATTGTGTAAGGTTTTTGCTTTCAGTGGTGTTACTTTCAGGAAAAGCTCACTAATATGAAAAAATATTACATGGTTTAGCTGCAAAGATTGTAGATATGAGAACACATGCCCTGACATATACAGATAGGTAGATACATATTAATACAGATAATTTTTTTTTTTACTTAATATATTAATACAGATTTGCCTAGATACAAATATACCACACACAGACCCTTAGACACACACAGATATACCCATGTCTATGTTCATTGAGAGAGACTCACTCAATATCTGTGTATGTGTGTGTTGGGAGAGGGTCATAACCTCCTCCATTCTTCTCCTGAAGGGGTTTGGATAATGAAGGGAAAAGAAATGAGGCCTGGGGCTAATTTGTAGTGGCATTTCCTGGCCTCTCTTATGCCAATGAAGCTCCGTTTCATCTTTAGCCTTATCAATTCTGCAGTCATGTGGCTTTCCGCTTGGACGCCTCTGTCTCTTCACCCTCCTCCCCAATCTCCGATGCTAATGGAAACTTCGTTAATGCCATTAATCTGCTGACCAGGACAAGTCAAAAACATATCCACACAATCTGAGCCAGGGCTGCAAGCGTCCTGGGGCTGCCAAACAGAGGCACCCCCTGTGTTCATTGCATTCCTGAAGGAACTTCATATTGATTTCTTTCTTTCTTTCCTTCTCTGCTTTATTCCTTGACAACATTGCATCCTTCAGAACAGGCATCAAGTAGATGGCCTTTTCTTCCTCATCCCTCACCATGATATTTCTGCAAGAATCCTTTCCCCAGATGTAGCCCTAGTGACTTCTTTCAGTGCCCCCTCAGGACAGCCTTTTTGTTCTAATGCTGTCTTTGGTGACCAACTTGTTATTCCTCTTGCATAACACAATACCATAACTACTCAAATGTTGTGTGAATCTGCCTGGGCTGGTCTAAAATAAAAAGCCTTCCACTCTACCTTGGTATTAGCAAGTCTGTCATTAGCCAACCACTGTTATTGTTATTATTGTTCTAGTGGCAGTTGCCATTAGTTCTGTTCTTGAAGGGCTGTGCTGTTGGGGTGCCCTGTCCTCTGAAATGTTCTCAGCTCCCCAAAATCACTTTTGAGGAGTGAGGACATAGCATTGCTTTACATTTTACAAGTAGACCAGGTTTTGCAATGCTTCACCATTGTCTTCTATCACAATTGAGTATCATTTTTGGTGACGTACCATTCTCTTAGCTATGACTTCAACTTTCCCTGCCTGTGTAGCACACCTGCAGAAACTTGAAGCTCTGAGCAATGACTCACCGTCTCCTTATTTCATAGTATTGTCAAGTGGCTGAGCATGTGGAAGTTCCACGTGTTGGGATTATGCTGGCTGAGGTTTCACTGAGAAGAGAAAATAGACTCTGTTTGATACTTGTTTTAGGAAAAATTTCTGTGATAATCAGAGTTCATAGCTAGCTCTTGAGAATGTCAGGATGTTGAGTGATCTGTATTTGATCTAGGAATCTTTATATATGTAAATGAAATAGTGACAGTGGAGGAGGAAAAGACAGCTAAGAAAGGCATGCTGTCGGAGTTGTGACATATGGATATGTTTAGAAAAAAAGCATCAAATTGATGAAAACAAGGAGAGAAGTTGGCAGTTCAGCATGAACTTTGATGATGTCAGGCTAAATCTGGAATGATATTGGCTATGACAGAAGGCTGAGCCTTAGTTGCCACCTTCACACAGACATCACAGTAAAAAGGGATTGTTTTACAAGGAGAGAAGACAAAGAAGTTTTAAGTTCTTCAGTGCTGGCAGGGGTTGAAGTCAAAAGTTCATCCTCATGTAGTTTTGGGTACAGAGAATGCAAGTCATTTTCCACCAGCTAGGAGATGCTCCACTGAGCAGAGCATCTTCCTTCTCCAGCCAGTTCTGGGATGAGATATCCTTTTAAATCTTTAGGGTTTATGAACCCATTGCACTGTCTGATGAAGAAGGATTCATGCTGATTGGTACCATGCTTATTTTTGAGAATCACTGAATGAGAGGGGAGGGGGAAAAAGGTAGAGATTGTGTTATATCTTGGTATAAAAGAAAAAAGGAAGCTACAATACTCAGTGCCCTAAAATTCCTATTTAGATGAGTGGGACAGTATCTGTAAACCTAAGACCAGCATCTGCTGGGACACTTTCAAAGCTTCAATGAAAGCAGAGGACTAAAAATCAAATACTTGTAGCCTTAACAAGTGACAGGACAGTTAACAGCTCATACAAGACCACTCATTTTGGTTCAGCTGTTAAATTTGCTTCCTCTTCTTCATATCCTGTTACTTGGGATTTGAAATTGAAAAGTTGGGGGAGACAAATGAAGTGCTTATAGTGAAGTCTAGTGTCCTGGGAGATGCTGGTAGGAGATTTTTAGCATGTTTTCCCTGAACGTGCCTTAAGGAAGCTACTGGTACTTAGGTGAATTTATCTGGCATAACACACAGTACCACATAACAATAATACACAGCCTTTGATGTTGCAGTGTGCTAATAGTGGAGTCTGTTCCATGTGCGTGGAAGGGATGATTGTGACACATGGTCCTGTACAAGAAAAAAGGAAAAAGATCTTCAAGTGAGCAAGTAGTTTGTGCACACCTTAATACAGAAGCAGAAACACCAGGAAACCAAGCCCTATCCAAGGTATAACATTGTCCTGCCCGGCAATCTTGGCAAGTTGTTTAACCTCTTCATTTGTCTAGACTTTTCCTGTTTATTCCACTCTTATCACAAACTTCTTGAGAAAGAAGTATTTCTTCCTATGTATGCATCCAGCTAGAGAGTTGGTCCTCATCTTGGCTAAAGTCTCTCTACAGTAATATAACACCCTATGCCTTCTTTCCATATAGCAAGAATTGTGCATTAGACTGAGAAGTAAAAGGTGCTTTGGGCTTCTGACTGATGCCAAGAAATAAATCAATTCAGCAAAGCCTGCATTAGCTACCTTGGGTACTGGGAGCATCCCAGCTGTGGCAGCATAGAGCCTATCGAGGTTAAATTTGGATCATGTCATGATGCAGCCTTCATGCTGGGAAAGAAGTTTAAAATGTCAGTGCTGTATGTCTTTGGAAAATTTCTATTTGAATGCCACTGCTATACACAAAACTGCTGCTGCCTACTGCTGCTGCTGCTGTGGTTGGTATCCTCTGATCCATCTTTTGCTCGGTTTTTTCTAACTGCTAGCCTCATAGGAGCTGTCATACTGCTATGCAGATTCTGCCCAGCATCCATTTTGTCATGGAAAATGTTCCAAAAGTGGTGGTGAAAGCAGTTTTTCAATGAAAACAGTATTTTGATGCAATTGCGACACTCTAAGTATATAGAGTAGACAAAGTTTGTAGGTTGAAATAATGTCACTATATCTGCTGGTCTGAAAACCAGGCCTTTTTTCTACCTTGTTCTGTTTTCTTTATTGCAAGATTTTATTTTATTTTTTGTAGTGAAGTCTGTGGGGTGGTAGGCAGGCAATGTAGCTTTTATTTCTGGTTCTGTTACAAATGTGCGTTTTGATCGTGGGGTAACATACTGTGTCTTTGTATTATCCAGTTGTAAAGTGAGGAAGATGACAGGTCCTTCTTTCATTCTTTTCTGTCTGGTCTAACGTAGACTTGCCTGGTGCAGCGTCCCTTTCTGGTCAGTGAGCCACAACCTTGGTTGATGAGCTACTCTTGTCTCTGTTAAGCTTTTCTGTGCAGGCTTCTGGTTTTAGATCCATAGGCTGGAACTCAACCCATATTCAAGCATCTCTTAAGCTTATCTTTTAACTGTAGATGGGTAGTACTTGGTGTGTTGTGATGTTGGTATGCTTCTGTATCAGCGAGGGATAAACAAAACACAGTATTGTAGCACTCTCTCCTTTCCATTTACCTTTATAGTAGTGCTATCTTTGCTTTCTTCTTATTGCAAATTTTGCTTCATTCTACTAGTGAATGTTCTGTGAGTAATCCTTAAGCTTTCCTGGGGGGGAAAACCAATATTTTGATGAGTACAGCCATTTCTGGTGGTAACTGCAGCAAAGAGCTTGAAAGGTTTGTTGCTTTAAATTCAAGAATGATGTCACAAAATCTGGGGAGTGGCCTTGCCTGGAAACATTTGGACTGCCAGTTCCTGGCAAGTGAAAATTGATGTGACTCACCACAAAATGTAGTGCATTCTTTGATGTAGAGGGCAGGGACTTAGAAATTCTCACAAATGCAAATGAATCTATGTTTTAAAATCCTTGCAATCAGCAAGGGAAGAAACTGCTTTGCTTTAATGAAAGCACAATAAAAAGTAATACTTGCAGAGTTTATTTAATTCAAAAATGCCAAGCTCATTAGACAACTGGTAATAGAACATGATTCCGACTCTTATTGGTTCATAAGAATCATATTTACTACCTTCAAAATACAGTCACTTATAGGATGAGATATTGGAGATGTTTAACTTTTAGAAATCCCCACAAACCATGGGGTCAAATTAGGACAGGAAAAATAGAAGAGGAGGGACGCAACAGACAGAGAAAGCTGTCATCCTTACAACCACTGCCAAAAAGATCAGTCTTGTAAAGTCTTGCAACAAAAATGTTGCAAGAACCTCTGGTTTACAGCTTTAGTGGAAAGTCTTTAAGTCCTGCAGGTGGTGGCTCTGACAGCCGGCTGGGAACACCAGCGCACTGCGTTAGCAGCACTGCGGTACTCGGCACAGCTCCTTGGAGGACTGCGGAGCAGTGAGCCAGCCAGGCTCGCTTATGAGAACTGACAGGATCACGGCACAAATGACTCCAAACCCCTCTGCTTGGCTTGCCAGTGTTTAAACGGGGGCAAAATCCTACCCTCTGTTTCCTCAGAAAGGCAATAGTTGAGTACTGTGGACTTGAAAGGGAACAAGTTTATGCTCTGATTTTGCAGAGAGTAGAAGAGAGTGATGGTCCTTGTTTCTAAAAACTTGCAAAAGCTGTTCAATTTCATGTAAGAAAGCTGATCAAATCAGATACTAAGTACTTAAACTGCAGTAGAAATCCTTACCCTGAAAAGCCTGTAGTCAAAACTGTTGCTATTGAATCTGATTCATGAAGCCATGGCAGGCAATTTGCACCTACTCCTTGGAATACCCTTCAGCTGCAACATCCACCAACACCTCAGTTCTTGCATCTGTGCTGGAATGTAAGAATAAAGTTTGAGAGCTATCAGTCTATTAGTCCAGATTCTTGGGAACTCCTGATTTAAACAGGCAAAGGACATGCTGTTAAGTGTGATTTACAGTGTATAAATGTACTGGTTAAACCATAATTCATGGCTGATTTTTTCTGCCTCACACATGAACTCATCTATTCATGGGAATTTCAACTCATCTTCAGAGACACATCTCTTTTGTGTATGGGCCCAAAGAGAAGCTATGGAAAGAAATGTTTCTTTGCAATACTGAAAGAAGAACTGTAAGAGAAGCTGGAGGTTGGCACTGTGGCAACTGCTCCTCTAGGGTACTGTTCTGGGCTTTGGTGCTAGCAAGGAACAAAGACTCTTTTCTTTGGATTTTTTGTTTGTTTGAGGTTTGGGGGTTTTTTTGTTTTGTTGTTGTTGTTGGTCCTTATACCACAACTGAGGGGATAACACCTTCTCTGTTCTGCTAAATTCCATCTAGCATAAGATGCTAAAAACCATTGTCGTTGGCTATAAGAAATAAATGTGCTGGTCTCAACCAGTTTCCCTATGGGTGACAATAATGGCAATTTAGTTGTTTATTTCAGGTTCTTCAAAAGTGGAGTCATGAAGGAGGGTTTGTCCTATTGCTGCACTTATTTTATGATCTCTTTAAAAGAAAGAAGAGGATTAGCTCTTGGGATAAAGTCCTAAGACTGACCTCAATGTCCAGAGCTCCAGCCTGACCTTAAATCCACACAGAGAACAGTTACTACCAGACACTTTGTGAAGTGAGTCTCGGCTCCACTTTTCATCTGACACAGCAGCAGTTTAGGAATCAGCACTCTGTTTGCCCTACTTACCCCGGTACTAGCTTCTAACACAGGAAAGCTGCTGGCACAGGCACCAGACTGTCACTTTTGTGACTGAGGGAGGAAAGAGAGGAGTCCTCACCCCATCTTCCTTTTCAGACAGTCTCCAGGAGTTTTGGAAGGAGCTTTTTACAAGCCTTCTTCTATTGTTGGCCAGGAGACAAAGGACGGAGGAGCTGGATTTAAGCATAATGACGTGAGCTCCTCCATGCAGAAAAACCCAGCTGAGAGACCCCCCCTGCTCCACACACACACAAAAAAAGGAAGAAAGGGGGAGAAAATCTTTGAAAATAACTAATTAAAGTTGTTTTAGCCTCTCTCTCTCCCCTCCAAGGGCGCCTAATCTCACAGGGGGCAGAGGGGGAGAGAGGCAAGAGGAACAATGAGAACCATCCCCCCCTTCTCTACACTCCACCTCCTGGTCTCTGAGGTTTTAAAACAAGAGGCCACTTTAAGTTAATGAGCTATCAGCTGACTGGGAGAAGTCTCTAATGAAGCCTGGTGTTCACACATTCCCCAGCTTGCTGAATAGGCCTCTGCCAACCCCATAACTGTCAGAAAGTTTCATTCATAAAATCCACATGCTGAGGGTGGTGGTGATGGGGGCAGGGAGGGAGCTGGGTGGAGATGGAAGAGAGGAAGTGTGGGGTGGTGGTCTCCATATGGAGCAGTCAGCCCCAGAGGCCAAACAGGAACATGCATGGCTGGGGCTGGCAGGCTGGAGGATCCCAGGGACCCGACTCCACTCTCCATTGTCTGGCTAGTAATTAGGAAGATCCTTCACATGGTTCTTGGAGGACATTGAAGTCTGTTGGGATAATTAGTGAAGATTTAGGGGATATTCCAGCTTTTATGTCACCAGCTTTGCTAAGGCCACAGGGGCAGGTGCCGGTGGCATGAAGCCTAGGAGTCATTCAGGAGCTTTGCTGTGTGGGCCATGCTTTACTGAGCCTCATGTCTCCTGGCAGTACTTTAGGACCTGTGTTTGTGGGGATATTTGTGAGAAGGAGAGCAAAAAGGCAGGGAAAATTCCGGGGGAAAAGGTATAATACTGGGACAGGAAGGAAGTCATGTTTACTTAAACTTGGTGGTGATATGTTCTGGAGCTCATTCTCCTTGGATACTGCATGTGCTTTTGGCAAGAGCAAAGAGGAAAGATGCAGATACTGGATCAAAAACTGTTTTCCTCCAAGGGCTGGACTATGGTTTGAGCAGTGAATCAGCATTGTAATCAACAGTAAAGGCCACTGTATTCTTGTGTCCTGCAAGTTTTGACATTAGACACTTCTGGGTCTTTCCTGAAGTTTCTGAGCAGCAATGTCAAGCCCAGATTTCTTTTGAGCATTATGGATCTAATGCTCTGAGCACAGGAATTAGATCTTTGAGCACTAGACTTCTATCTCTCTCTTTGAAATTTTGGTCCCTTCCCAATCCCCAAGTCAGTATGCTGTAGCAGGACCAGGGTGTAATTGTTAGAGTGTCACTTAAATCTTAGTTGTGACAAAAGGCACAGTTAAATGAGAAACAGTCTCTGCCTTTGGGAGCTTACAGTGTAAATACACAGTGCAGATTGAGTGGAAAAAACCACTTAGGAATCTCATTCAAAGCCACTGAAACAATAGTAGGATCTCTGTTAACTCTGAGGAGCTTT